AATAAATTAAAAAAATAGGGGATATACTTTATATATGCCAATTTAAAAATATAAAAAAACGTTAAATATGAGAAACCGCGATTATAAAAAAAAAAAAATTTAAAAAAAAAATCACGGGTATTTAAAACTAAATTAAAGAATATTAAAATTTAAAAAATCGCAGTGTCTAGAATTAAAAAAAGAATAAATCCGAAAATAATAATAAAATATTAAAGAAATTAACGGTATAAAAAATTTTAAACCCGCAATTATAAAAAATAAAATTCGCGGATATAAAAATTATCTAAATTAAAAATATTAAACGAAAAATTAAAACAAAAAAATAGAAATTAATAGAAAAATAATAAAATAAAAAATACAAAATTAAGAAAACCGAATATAAATAAATTAATTACAAGAAATAATAATAATAATAAATGAATTTAAAAATTTAAATTAATAAAAATAATAAAAATAAAATAAAATTTATCATCAAAAATTGAAATAAAATAATAAAACACTAATGATTAGTTAGCATTAAGATTAGGATTAGGATTAAAGTTAGGGTTGGATTATTTATCAATAAATTGTATTATTTATTTTATATTTTCTTTGTTATAGATATGCTAAAACATTTAAAAAATTAAGATTCCAACATCTATTTCACGTTAGCGAAACCTGGGGAATCGTCTGGATAAAATGCTAGTTTAATGATAATAATTTATCGCGAAAATCAATTTTTCTATTAATACTCATATCATTTATACAATTTTATGGTTAATATTTTTAATAATTTGTTTGTAAAATTTATTGACAAATATACATGTTCAAAATTTAAATACTCTTTCACATATTTTGTTACTAAACATCTAATTCAACTTCCAACTTCCACTCCATATAGTTAGACACTTTTAATAATTGTAATGTGCTATGTGCTATGTGCTGAGTTTTATATGTCATTTTACGTCCAAATATAGATTTCGATTTTCGATTAATTCGAATTTATTAGAATCGATTCCATCTCCTAATTTCTAGAAAAGATTTAATTATATAATTATATTACTAATAAAATATAAAAATCATTAATTTTGCATATGATTTTTTGGTTAATATTAATAATAAATTTAAGATATTATTTATATTTACTAACATTTGAAGCTTCTTTTAATAATACATCAGGAATTATTGAATTTCAATAAAAAAAAAACTGTAAATCAATAGCCGATGCTGATTGGCCTTTGCAATTACACAAAAATCTAGATAAATGGATCGTTCCGGATTTAATATCGGTTTCCGTTTCCTAGTTATTAATAATATTAATAACGATTTTATAAATCAATTAAATTAAAGGTATTATAAAAGAAAATAATAATGAAAATAATGTTTAGATTAAGATTCAACTGAAATGTAATAAAGCAATTTAATATTTATGATTATGATGATGAAATTCAAAATTATTATAAATTAAGGTCAATGTTTAATAATAATTCAGTTTACTTTATTTTACATTCATTATATAGTATTAAAGATCAAATTTGGTATCTCAAATAAAATATTTATTTAAATAATATTATTATTTCTGTAATCGCCGATTGGTTAGGATAAGAAAGGCTATAATATTAAGAAAAAAAAAAAAAGAATTTACTTCACTTTATATTTTATATTTAAAAAATAGAGAATATTATTCTGAACATATTTAAATAAGAAAATAAACTAAAATAAATAATAGATAAATATGCAGAATATCAAATATTATTTTTACTACATAAATCATATTTATTTACTTTAAAAATATATATAAAGGGATACTTTAATGAAGTATTATTGAAACTTTATTTAGTTAATAAATAAATTCATATGTAACAATTTATTAGTCATATAATAATTTTTGACTGAAAAAGTTATTGCAATTATTAGTAGTATTTGTCAAATTGGCACATAGAAGTAAAAATTAATTCTGATCATATACATTTAAATACATTTAAAAAGAACTATCTTTATATATCTCAAAACAAATTTTTTTCTGAATGCATTTTATGTTTTAACTCTAGTATACTTAAAGAAGTTTAAAATTTAAACTTAAAATTTAAACTTAATAATTGAAATTTTAATCTTTTTTTGCAAAAAAAATATGTATTATAGGAAAATAAATTAATTTATTTTTGTAATATAAATTTGTATCTTTTTATTTTAAAAGATGTAAGTATAAGTTAAAGATTATGAGGATTAGTTTGTGAGGAATTTATAAAGTCTCTAATACTCTTGAATTATTTCTTAGTCTATTTTGAAGACTGATGAATCAAGATAAAAATTTCAATATTATTTCAAATTGAATATTTATTAGGTATAATATAAGATTAACTGATTAAAATAAATAATAAAAACTAAAATAAGAGAGACTTCTAATAGTATTAAACCTTGTATTTTATAAACAGTAAAGATAAAAGAAATATTACATATATATTTGATCATAGTATATTAATTTTATAAAAAAATAAATAATATAGATGTACTATATACTAATTTAAATAAGCTATAAATTTTCCTTTTAAATGAGCTATATTTCTAATATTATCTTTATCTATCTGAATTAAAAAAAGTTTTTATAAGAATAAATGACTTTATTCATAAAAGTTAATATTTGTTATAATATAATAATTTCTCTAATAATATATTTTCATATTAATATTTTATTAAGATTATGAATATAATGAAATATACTCAATTTAGAAGAAATGATTTTTATTTTTTTATTAAATTTTTTTTTAAAAGTTAGAAAATTAAAAAACTTTTTAAAAAATTGTTTTTTATTATACAGATTAATTAACTATTCTCGTTAATTCCAAGATTTAAAATATTTATATAATTGAAATAAAAGAATTTAAAAAGGTTAAATGAGTATATAATAATAGAATAATGCAACTTAAAAAGATTTATTTATTTTATATATCTTTGTAAAAAGACAGAATCATTCTTCATACAGGAAAAATTTATATTTAAAAAAATTATTAGAAAGGAAATTAGGATATTATCTTTATAAAAAAATCAGAATATTTTTTTTTTAATCAATATTGATTATTAAGGTTATATAAAACTGAATTTGTTTTCTATTTATAAAAGCTCAATTCACTAGGAAGGAGAATATGTGTTACTCTATACTCTAGAATTAAGATTTTAAAAAATCGAGATTTGGAATTTAGGATTTAAGAATCCTAAACTGAAATACTAATCTATTAGCAAAGGAAGATTTTTTTAAAAGCTCGAATATTTTTTTTTCCTAATATGAATTGTTTTGATGATCATTTACTAATTACACAATAAGTAGATTTTGCAGATCGGTACACCATTCAAATTTTGCCGAAAAAGTACATTTAAATGGATTTATTATATGCAGTGATATTCTATATAGAACTTAACATCTATTTGATCTGCTGCATACGCTGTTGATATAAAAATGTAATGTATTTAACTGTTTATCGTTAAAGCCTCCAAAATGAAAATCCGAATAAACATACAATTTATTATTATTAACTTTACGTTTCTTGTTTTTTTTTTCGATCGGACTTTTGCCAAAATAAACAATCAAGTTCGTGCAAATACTTATTATGTTAAATTTACCGCTTCATATTTCACTTCATCTATTGAACATATTGAAGATCAACATGCTAATTTTCATAAAGAATTAAATAAACGTGGAATCCATGTCAAAATTAAAGATGTATTCAAACGATATTCAAATGGAATTAGCATTGAAATTGATGAACGACATGTAAAGAGTATCTCTGAAATTGAGCACGTTGAAAGTGTTGAACCGGTGGTAAGAATAATGTTCGTTCGGTATCTTTTAATCGTTTTATGTCTTAATAATAAGTAATTTTTTTCGCATTTCAGAAAATGTATAAACGAATTAAACGAATCGACTTTAATAATCAAAAATTCAATAAACGTGACGAAGTTTATAATGAATCGATCTTAATTGCTCCAAATAATGATATCAATTCTGTTCATGAAGTTACCGGCGTTAAAAAAGTTCATGAGAAATTAAAATTATCAGGAAAAGGTGTTAAAATCGGAGTCATCGATACTGGTAATTTATGTTCTTTCATACCATTAAGGTGCAAATCAAAAGAAATAAATTGTTAACGAACGACTTTCTTACAATTATTAGGCGTTGATTATACCCATCCTGCTCTTGGAGGATGTTATGGACCCGGATGCAGAGTAGCATATGGGTATAATTTTATTGATAACAATGATGATCCATACGATAATTGTCAGGGACATGGGACTGCTGTATCAGCAATTATTGGGGGAAAGGACGACGGACCTGGATTCGTAGGTGTAGCACCCGACGTTACCTTTGGAGCATATAGAATATACTCTTGCTCAGAATGTGATAATAACGCATGCGCAAAAGATGCTGAAGAGATTCTGATAATGAAAGCTATTATTAAGGCTGCCGATGATGGAATGGACATCATAAATATGTCTTTGGTGAGTAAATAATTATTTTAACTACTTTTAAAAAAAACGTCACGTCAATTTATTATTTTTTTTTTTTACAATTTGTGCAGGGAATTGATGGTAACAATAGTAACATGCTTGCAACTTTGGTCAACGAACTGACTAAATATAAAGGAATGATCTTCATAGTAGCAAACGGGAATAGCGGTTCAGATGGTATATTCACTAGTAGTTTGCCAGCGACGGCTCAAAGTTCTATTGGTGTTGGTTCATTCGAGACAAATAAAGTCTTGAATTTTAAAGCATTTGATCCGAAGAATCCAAATTTTGTTATTAGTAAGTATATATGTTTAAATTTTTATTTTATTTTATTTTTGTTATTTCTTTAAAGCTGAATTAAAAATGATATATCTTATAATAGATTATGCTACGAATGATGCATTAGCGTTTCCTTTTAAAAGTGCTAAAGTTAAGTTGTTTCCAATGGATAAATGTTTGAATGATTATAAAGGATTTGATAATACAGTAATTATAGTTGACATTAGAACTGTATTGAAATGCCCAGAATCAACAGTTATTGTAAGTTTTTTTTTATAAACAAAAATTTTCCTTTGAATATGTAATTATAAATGCATGATTTTAAAAAAAAATTCATTTTTGTAGCTTGCTAAAATAAAGCCACTCGCCGTATTAGTATCCGTTAGTAAGCTTACTGTTGTACTTCAATACCGACAAATATCATATTTACCAACGGAATACGGAGCGCAGATTACTTCAAAACAAACCGATATCTTAATTGAATATCTTGAAAGAAACCCAAATTTAGAATTAGATTTTTCTAATAATTACGGATACATGGAATACCATCCATTTGCTGTAACTCCTTCTGTATTTTCTAGTTGGGGTTTATCTCAAGAGTTTGATATCAAGGTAATGGAATTATCAACTGAGATGAATTTTTAAATCAGTGAATGTAATGAACTTACCAATTATGAACGTTTTTTTTAATAGCCCGAGGTTTGCGCACCTGGAGGATCAATTCTTTCGGCTTTTCCGGTTAATATAGGTACTTATACGATAAATAGTGGTACAAGTCTAGCTGCACCGTATATGACAGGCGTAGCAGCATTATATTTTGAAATGTTCGGAAAAGCAAAGTCTCCCGAACAATTAAAAACCGCATTCATGAATTATGCCGTCCCTCTTGAAAATCGTGATAGATTATTAGCTTCGGTACTTCATCAAGGCGCTGGACTTATTGACGCTTTTAATACAATGATAGCAACCAGTTTTGTTTACCCACCAAAAATTAATTTGAATGACACTGTCCATTTTAATGGATATCACAAATTAACTGTTTACAATGGTGGTAGAAGAGAGATGAAATATATATTGTCGCATTTGCCAGCCCCAAGTGTTGATGGATATAATAAAACACTTAGTAGTAAATTTAATGAGTTGGAATTTTTTACACGTCAACATGCTAAAGTTCAGTTTGATGATGATCAAATTATCGTACCACCTCGATCTAGCGTTGAAATTTCCATAAATTTTGCCCCACCAAATGAGCTACCTAAAGATGGACATTGGTTTTATAGTGGGTGGGTAGTAATAACTCCTTTGGATGAGAAGATGCTTGCAATGACCGTTCCTTATGGTATGTAATTTTTTTTTTTTTTTTTTTTTTTTTTTTTTTTTTTTTTTGCTAAATCATTACTCAATATTTAATAATAATCCTTTTACTTTTATCCATTTTTATATAGCTGGATTGGCTGATGATGCAAAGTCACTTCCATTATTTCAAACACCTGAATTTCCTAAACTTGCTGATTTGACTGACAATTTCATCACAAATGATGATGCAATTAAATCATTTTCTTTTAACATAAGTATTAAATTACTAATTGATCAACCATCCGTGCATCTATATCTTGCAACTCCGACACAAATGATTTTTACCGAAATACTTGACGCAAATCAAGAGTTTTTAGGATGGGTTAAAGAATTTAGTGGAATTAAAATTGTAAAAAATCCGATAGAAAAATCGAATAATATAGTTTCATGGAATGGAATAATTTATGATCTAAACGATACAGGTACACTTGCTTCTAATGGAGAATACTTTATTAGGATTAAGGCTTTAAAAAGTTTTGGTGCTAGTAATAACGAGGAGGATTATGAATCTTGGATTAGTCCCAAATTTAGAGTTGAGAGGCCGGCTTTTGCCATTTAAGAAGCCCTCGATAAAGAAATATATACAGAATACTCTGATCTCGTTTCTTGTAATTATTAATTATAATAAAATAATTATAAGAATAAGTAGTATGTATTTATTGACACAGTTACTCATTATAACCCAAATAATTTTCTTCAACCAATTCCTTTTTTTTAAAGTTGTTGTTCCATCGACAAATATTGTTTTATCAATATTAATAGACGACTTTATATAAAGAAACCGTAAATTGTATTTAAATTTAATATTTATTAATTGTTTAAAGAAAATGTGAGAAAAAAATTGATTTATAAATTTCTATTTCGAAATTTCCATTAGAACATGCAATTTATTTTTACACTCATTTTTTGTTTTAAAAGAAAAAACTACACATTTGAAATTAAATTTTAAGAAATTTAAAAAAAAAAAAATAAATAAAAAATAAAATATATAATAATAAAATAAATATTAATTCGTGATCCGTGATAGAAGTACATATGATGATAAACAATAATTTTAAAAATGCGGGGCTATATAATAATAGCGAAAAAAATTTTTTCTCAATCTCATTTATTTTTGTAATAACATACCAATTAAACTATGACAAAACGCCAACGAGTTTCTCCTAGAATTGTTTCCATTGGATCTATGGTACGTTTGCTTATAATATTGAAATTGATTTTTGATTTGTTCATTTAAATAAAACTTTTTTTTTAAAAAAAAAAAAATAATAATCGATATCATTTAAATCATTTTGATATTTGATATAATTTTTAACCTTTTTCATTTGAATAATCGGAATTCAAAAAGTAATCAGATGCTTTTCAAAAAAACTTAGATTTAATTACCAAATATTGACCAATTCTGGCCCTAAATTACAGAATTATCAAATTTTTAAAAAAATTTTACACTACTCACAAGATTATGATGTCATCTGACGTAAAACACCTCTAGCAATATAAAATTTATAGATTAAATTCAAGACTCTAAAGGGAAGAAAAGGAAATACGATTGATTATTCATCGTCAATTACGTTAAAATAATGAAATATATTGTATAAAAAGATTTCAAACATTGTTTGCATCAATAATATTTTCTGAAAAATAGCATAGTAGATGAAATAATA